AGGAAGGGGCCTGGAGCCCTGTCCCACATCTGGACCTCTCCACCCCTCCCTGCTGCTACTAGTAAACAAGGGCCACACCCACGGGGTGACTGCCTCGATTTGAGCAGGGATTGATAATCAAGTCTTAAGTGGCAAAAGTCCTGGCCAGGCATCATGCATAGAAGGGGACCCCAAGAATCAATTATCAAGGAGCAGCTGCGAAACAAGGCAGTATGGGGGTGACTCTGGGAGCAGGATGGCCAAGTATGCCCTGGCCAGTGTCTGGGGAAACAAATCACCTCCTTTGTGCAGAGGGGACCCTAAATTCTGATTGAACTTCTCTTCGGGGGGTTAGAGCACAGGCTTTGGAGTTAGGTCAGCCTGGTTTTAAATCCCAGCTGGGCCATTTCCCAGCTGTGTGGCTTAGGGGATGTCTTTTTATGTTTTATTTTTTAAAATATATTTGTATTTATTTCAGAGAGCAAGGGAGAGGGAGAGACAGAAACATCAATGATGAGAATCACTGATCAGCTGCCTCCTACACGTTCTCAACCAGGGATTGAGCCCGAAACTTGGGCATGTGCCCCAACCAGGAATCAAACTGTGACCTCCTGGTTTGTAGGTCCATGCACAACACAGATGGGATAATGGATATAAAATGATTTGGTGCCAAAAAATAAAAATCAAAGCCAAAGGAACATAAGGGATTTATAGACCAGTTCTTACTGAAGAGTGTTCTACAGAAAATGGGTTTCCTTCCCTAGCCGTTGGCTCAGTGGATAGAACAGGCTGAAGGGTCCCAGGTTCCATTCTGGTCAAGGGCACGTACCTCGGTTGCAGGCTCCACATCCCTGGACCTGGTTTCTCTCTCTCCATCTCTCCCCCACCCTCCCACTATCTCTAAAAATCAATGGAAAAATATCCTCGGGTAACGATTAACAAAAAAGAAAACAAGTTTCCTGGAATGTTAATAACTATTCCTTAAAAGAAAGATTTTGCAGTCATTATGTTTTGGGAATGCAGAGTTGAAGAGTAAAATAAAATTTCTTTACTGTTTGACTTTTTAATCCTTAATATTAAAGTATACTGTGAATCTCTGAGAAAAGGATAGAACAGGCAAACCTAATTGACCAGAGGTGGCTATAATACTGGTAGTTTCACAGAACAAATTCGAGAAAAACATCTGGGTTTGTTGTTAGTATGCCTTTAACATACTAAAGGAGGTTCCCTAATCCCCTTTTAAACCTGTTGGCTTAGCATTCTTATAGATTAATCCATGTTTGGGTTCTCAGACCTGGGGGAAGTCTCATGGTGATCTTCAGTGTTCTTCCCCAAACCTCGATTCCAGTACCACCTTCACAATTCTTGTCCCATCTGAATGCTGCTTGTACCAGTCTCTGTTTAACATTTTTATTTAAAGAAATCTTTTTCTTAAGTAAGTTTAAAAGACAACTTTATAGCATACTGTATGTGGAAAGCTTCACTTGCCATAAAGAGAAGATACCCGTAAAAATAAAAGCAGTGAAAAAGTTGTTAAGCCCTGCCTGGATGCTGTTGCCGGAAGGCCCTAACCCAAGATCCATTTCCTGGTTCTTTTCTGAAAATGGAGCTGAGACATGTGAAAGTGCTCAATTTGCAGTCAGAAAGAGTCAAAGAGGCCTAGGGGGAATCACCTCCTGCCTGTGATTCAGCGTTATTTACTCCAGCACATTCCTCCAAAAAACCTCAGGACTAACATGTGTACACATCCCACACCTGAGTAAACACTGACCTGGGCCAACACGTCATTCACCAGGGAAGGAACTGACGGGAGGGGGCCTGCCTTTGCTGATGTCACTCACAGTGAGGAGTAGCTGGCCTGGGTTAGAATGTGAGTCTGAGCCCAGTGTACTTTTCACGTGGTCATTCCTGGGGTGTCTGAAGACCTGTCTTCCAGGTCTGGGTTGGAATAACCTGGCTAGGGATGTGGGAGCTCTGTGTCAAGAGTAGAACAAAGCTCCTAAACGTTGGCTCAGAGGCTGATTGGCCTGGGTTTCCATGAACCCCTGGTTTTCTGGAGGGGCTCTCAGAAGAGCTAACTGCCCTAATGGGAAGGGAGTACTTTCTGGAAGGGGCAAAAGGGCAGCAGCTCCAGGCACTGAAGTTCATCTTTGTCTTTCTCTCCCCGTGCTGCCTTGGGCCTGGGTCATTTCAGACGAGACTCAGGTAAGATGGACTGGGCTCCCTAGCTGCTGCCCCAGCAGCTCCCACCTTCCTGGGCCCAGTCTTAGGGGAAAAGGGAAGGGGGTGGGGGGGCAACAGAGCTGGAAGTGTGGGTATGGGGAAGGAAGGGGCCCCTGGACAATTTGCACCTACCCTGACCCCCACCCTCCCTGCAGCTCTACACCCTCGCCGTGATGGGGCCAGGGCCACCAGATCACCAGCCAGCCCACATCTCTCGCCGTTACTCAGACTTTGAGAGGTTGCACCGAAACCTGCAGCGGCAGTTCCGGGGCCCCATGGCTGCCATCTCCTTTCCCCGTAAGCGCCTGCGCCGGAATTTCACTGCAGAGACCATTGCCCGCCGCAGCCGGGCCTTTGAGCAGTTTTTGAGCCACCTGCAGGCAGTCCCCGAGCTGCGCCATGCCCCAGACCTACAGGACTTCTTCGTGCTGCCGGAGCTGCGGAGGGCACAGAGTCTCACCTGCACTGGCCTCTACCGTGAGGCTCTGGCGTTCTGGGCCAATGCCTGGCAGCTTCAGGCCCAGCTGGGCACCCTCTCCAGCCCAGATCGCCCTCTGCTGACCCTGGCTGGGCTGGCTGTGTGCCACCAGGAGATGGAGGACCCTGGGGAGGCCCGGGCATGCTGTGAGAGGGCCCTTCAGCTGCTGGAGGACAAGAGTCCCCATCCTTTGTTAGCACCCTTTCTGGAGGCCCATGTCCGGCTCTCCTGGCGCCTGGGCCTGGATAAACGCCAGTCAGAGGCGCGGCTCCAGGTCCTGCAGGAGGCAGGCCTGACCCCCACGCCACCCCCCAGTCTCAAAGAATTGCTCATCAAGGAGGTACTGGACTAATCTTGCCTAGACTTAAGGTTACCCTGGGGAGAGGCACTGCCCCAGGATGCAGCGGTGGGGGACCGATGAGGGATGAGGACCTGAACAGCAGCTGGGAGGCTGTAGGGGGTGTTGGGAACCCCTAGGAGTAACACAAAGAATTTGTAGCAGACTGAGGAAATGTGGCTCTTCTGTTGGGCTGGGCCCAGGAAAAGCTTTGGCTGGGGATGTCTGGGACCTGGGATGGTGCAGGGAGGAAGTCTGATGCACTCTCTTCAGCAAATGCACGGCTGGGGGCTGTGCCCCAGGCCAGGGTCAGTGTTCCCTTTTCCTTGGGCCTCCAAGTCAGTGAAGGAGACGAGTAAGGGCCAGGACTCGGGAGTCTTGGAGTTGATGGCTGGCGGGAGGGCTGCAGTTCTGGCCCAGGGAAGAAAGGCCAGCAGGTCCAGTGGTAGCAGCCTCTTTATTGGGTGAGGGACAAAGCCCAGCCCTCAACTGTAATTCCTGCCTCGCCTCAGGAGTTGGGGGAGAAGGGAGATCCTTGAAGCCCAGGCCAAGCTGGTACCTCTGGCTACAGCTTGCTCTCTGTGACCGGGGGCTTCACTCGGATCACGCCCTCCTGGGCACAGGATACAGCCAGCACCCCGTCCCGACGCCACAGCTGCCCACGGACCAGCCCCCGGGAGCCACCTGTGGGTGAGAAGGGTAAGAACAGCCTTCTCTCTCCTTTAGCACAGCCAAGCAGGCTTCTTAAGAAGGGTGCAGTCCAGGTTGGGCTGCCCCAGACAAGGGCACACTGCGTACTGTGCCCCTTTATGAGCCTAACGTGTTCAGTCATGGGGTAGCCATGGGAACCCCCACAGAACAGTTTAAAAGCACTTTATATGTCCTCGGGCTTCCTCACAACCACAGAGTGGGAGTTCTGAGAACAGTCTCCATCAGTAGCGTGGCTAAGCAGATCTACCGGCCTCTGGCCACTTGTGTTAGGAAACCCATCAGTTCTCTTTATAATAAATCAAACCTGTCCCTCCAGGCTGGTATTATATGAAAAGTACCCCAACCCCGAGGGGACAAAGGAGCTCAAGGGAGAGGACCTCTGGCCACCCCTTCCTCGCACCTGCAGATTTCCTCTCCCTTGTCAGCCTCGGGCCTGAGTTGGTGCCGGTCCCTTCCATGTAGTACAGCTCACTTAGTCCTCACAACAGCCAAGTGAAGAAGGGTTTGTCCCCTTTCCTAGATGATGAGCTTAAAATTCAGAGAGGCGCAGGAACTTGGCCATAAGAATCAGGCCAAAACCAAGTATCCTAACTTCAAGGTTGTTGATCCTGTACTGTGATGCTATTGGTACTTTTTGTTTGTTGGTTAGTTTGCTTGTTTTGTTTATTTTTGATGCTATTGGTACTTAAGAGTCCTCCTTCCCTGAGTATAAAGAGCCCCTTAAGTTTTGTCTCTGTTTTACAAAACAGTTTTCATTTGAAAAGTACTTCTTTGGAAAGGAATCCAGGGCCCTGGCAGCAGACATTGATGAACGAGCCTGGGATTCTCTATGTCTCTGATGAGGAGTGTCCCAGCAGAGGTTCCTTCAGAAACCGTACAGTGCCCTGAGCCCACCAGGGTAATCGGCAGAATCACTTAGGGAGCTTCTTAAAAATATAGTTTCCTGGACCACTTCTAAGACCTGCAGAGTCAGAATCTTAGAATCTGAAAATCAATTTTTAAAAAGCTCCCTGAAGTGGCCACCAGGTTTGGCTACTCCTCTAATACAACTCTGTTTATTTAAATGAGGAAACTGCCCTGACCGGTTTGGCTCAGTGGATAGAGCGTCGACCTGCAGACTCAAGGGTCCCAGGTTCGATTTTGGTCAAGGGCATGTACCTTGGTTGCGGGCACATCCCCAGTAGGGAGTGTGCAGGAGGCAGCTGATTGATGTTTCTCTCTCATCGATGTTTCTGACTCTCTATTCCTCTCTGTAAAAAATCAATAAAATATATTTTTTAAAAAATAAATAAATGGGGAAACTGAGGCTCGGGGAGGAGATAGGACTTGTCCAAGATCAGACAGAGATTCTGAAGTGATTCTGGGACTAGAACTGGGATCTCTGAGATAAAGTAGACCATATTCCCAGCAGTTACAGAAATTAAGAGCTGATTATGTGTCCCGTCCACCAGCCTCACCCTGTTATTTTGAAGATAAGGATGCCAAAGCCTAGGGGGGGCAGGAGAGAAAGTGACTTGTGCAGTGCCCCATAGAATGTGGGTGGGGAACAGCATGACCCAAGAAAGCAGGCTCCCTGCCACCCCAAGGCCAGTGCCCTTGTCCCCTGTGGCCCCACACTCACCAGCCCAGGGGCTCTCACACTCATAGAGCATCCAGTGGTCAGCTCGGAAGGGGGCGTGGAACCACATGGAGTGGTCCAAAGAGACCATGAAGTGCACCTTATGCTGACACTGGTGGGGCAGCAGTGCTGTGCTCAGGAAGGCATAGTCCGAGATATAGGCAGCCACGCAGCAGTGCATCTTGATGTCGCCCTCCCCTGCAATAGGTCCCGGTCCCATCAGCCCTGGGCTCCTGGCCTCTACAGCTCAGGACCTGCAGGGAGGTGGGGGAGACAGGGGCTGCCGTGCACAGCTATGCAGACTGTTCACTGCACGAGGGCACCTGGCCCAAGGTGTATGTGATGGGGGAGAGGGAGGCAGGGATGGAGCCCTCACTCCCCAAATCTCCCACACAGGCACCTTAAGATTAACAGTGTGCCTGCCTTCCCCAGAAAGGGCCTACATTAGGATTACAGTCACCTCCCATTCTCCCCATGCAAAGGCCTAGTAGGGCCCCGGTGAGAAGATGAGCCAAATTCCCCATCATGGGGATGAGGAAATAGGCCCAGAGAGGCAAAGTAACATGCCCAGGACCACACGGAGCAAATAATATGCAGGCCTAAACCCCTGGAGAGTGTTCTCTTCCAGTCCAGGAGGTCCTCTTACCAATATAGCCCTTGGCTCGCACCCAGAACATCTGTTTGGGCTCCATGTTCTGCAGCTGGCTCAGGCTGGATGGGTTTACTAGCTTGATCTCAATGGGCACATCCTGGGCAGCAATCCGGTTCAGGCCCACTCGGTACTTCTCTTGGAGGTTAGGGTCCCTGAAAGTAAAGGGTTGAGGGACCCAAAGAGAGGGGAAGCGTATCTTCGGAACTGTTTATTCCGACTCCCCTCCTTTCTCCAGGAGTCCAGACTTAGCCTGAAAGTCTCCCTCTCCTCTGGCAGGCAGGAGCGTCAACTATTTGAAGCCATTCTTTGCCTCTTATGAGCTAGGGGCCTTCTGCACGTTAGTCATCTCTCTGAGCCTATTTTCCCGTCTGCAAAATGTGGATAATGACAGTAACCTACCTGATAAACATCGTGGAGAAGACAAGATAATGCATGTAGTCATGAGGCGCAGCCCAATATGCACCGTTCTAAGCATTTCACCCACATTAACCCATTCCTCACAACAACCATGTGAGACAGCTGCAATGGTCACACACACACACCCCCCCCCTCCCGATGACATGAAATAAGCACAGAGTCCAAGTAGCTTGCTGAGGAAGTAAAGGCAGGCTTTGGGCCCAGGCAGCCTGACTTGGGTCATACTCTTAACCACTTCACTATTCCAAACACTTGGCAACCAGGCTGCCCAACTGGGACTGAGTTATCTAACCCTAAGCAATTGGGAACACTGTGTCCATGGGGAAAAGAGCCATTTCCAAGGAAGCCCCTTCACCCAGTAACAGCCACCCTAGTGCACACCAGGATTTCCATTTTCAGCCCTATCCTCTCAAACACTGTCCATAGAACCTTCAGGGATGATGGAATGTTCTGTATTTGCACTGTCCACGGCAGTAGCCACTAGCCACATGTGGCTACTGAGTGCTTGCAATGTGGTTAGTGTGGTTAATAGCAAGGAACAGAACTATTAATTCTACCTAATGTTAATTAATTTAATCCTGTGTAGCTAATGGCTTTCTTACTGGGCAACATAGCTCTAGATTTAGGGACCTTTAAGAACATTACAGCAAACATTTTTAAGCTCCGACCGTAAACCAGGCTCCAAGCTTATTCCTCTCAGTCAACTGTATAACTACAATTTACTGAACACTTAAGTGCCTTATTTTATAATTGAGGGCACAGGCTCAGAGTGGAAAGCAACTTCCCCAAACTCACACAGCTAGCAGAGACAGTCTAGATTTGAACCTAGACCTTTCCCAGGTTCAAACTCACATCTGCCCCATCACACCCTGCTGCCTCCCCTGCCAGCAAAGACCGAGGCACTCTCCCTCATACAGCTAAGAGGTAGGCAGGGCAGAAACATACATTTTTCAGATGAAGAAGCAGGGCTTTGAGAGGCTGGGGAGTTGGGCAGAGTCCCAGAGCAAATGGGCACTAACAGAACACAGCCCTGGCCAGAATCCATGTGTCTGTCCTGTCAGAGGCCAGAGCTCTTTCTCTTGCCCTGGCATTTCCCCGACTTTATCAACTGTGCCCTAAGTAAGAAATATATTTTACCAGGTGACATTTAAAATATTTCACACACACTAAGGCAAAGGCAGCAGGAACCCTCACCCTGCCAGGCATTACCTCCTAGGCTGCCGGATCATGTGACCTTGAAGGGGCAGTCACTCAGGGACGAGAGAGGTGAGTATTTGCCAAGTAGTTAAAGTAGTTCAAAAAAAAAAAAAAGAAGTAGTCCAATATTTTAACAACCAGTAAATCTACTGTACCTGAATTGGCTGAATCATAAGCCCGCATTTTACATCCTGACCCACACACAACTGAAACTAACCTATCACAAAGGGATTCTTACCTTTACTATACACAATACATTCCAATATCATCTTTCCTAGTCCATATTTTTAAATAGTCAAGACGCACTGAAGGATTCCATGACCCATGAACAGGAAGCAACTGCAGTCTGAAAACTGTCCTGAGCCTCCCGGTCTCTCACCTTAAGTACTGGTCAATGAGGGTCTCGTAGTCAAGCAGCTCTTCCGGTGGGGGCACCGAGGGCATGGAGAACTGGTGCTGTAGGGGGCTGGGCTGGGTCTTCTGGAAGGAGGCCTGGCAGATGAAGATGGGCCTGCCATGCTGCACGGCCTTCACTGAGCGCACTGAGAAGCTCGCCCCTGTTCGCGTCCGCTCTACCTGGTACAAAACTGGCACCTTCGGGTCCCCTGTGGGGGACACAGGGACATGGTGAGGCTGAGTGAGCCCCACAGGCCCTGTCATCATCACCATGGCTGGACAGGCACCTCTGCTACTCATTCTCCATTCCTTTTCTGCGTGGTAGCTACTGACTGAGGCCTGCTAAGGTCCGTGTACTGCAGATACAGAGAGAACACCAGACCCTGTCATAAGGATGCTCCCAGTACAAGTGGAACTCTTCTTTCTCAACAGCGCAGAACAGAAGGGACATTGCCAGATACCCTGCATTCAAATCCTAGCTAATTAGCTGGGTGACCTTACCAAAGACACTTAACCTCTCTGAGCAGTTTACCCGTCTATAAAATGAGGATCATCATGGTGTTCATACCTCTCAGGATTTTTATAAGAATGAGATCATAACTGTAAAGTGGTTAGCATAATATCTGGGACACAGAAGGATTGCAATATCAAAAGGCTAGCACTTTGATGCTTGCAACCAAATTGAAGAAATAGAGGACACTTTTGGTCCCAATTGGCTTAAAGGTAAGAGATTACACACACACACACACACACACACACACACACACACACTATATTTTCTATTTGTAAAAGGAAGGGGAAAACCTCACTATTGTTTTCTTAATATGAATCACATATTGTTAAGTTCCATACATTCTTCTCAGCTGATGGGACTATGCAGAAGGCAGTGTGACTCTTAAAATTGGGGACATCTGCCTTAGGAGTGAGGGAAAGGGAGGGATAGCAAGTGAGATTTTTGTTTCTCAAAGGAGAGCCTGGGTTTTAAAAGATTACTTTCTTGCTCCTTTAAGCTGCAAGCAGCTGTTGAGATCATCTGGAGAAAACACACTTGTCCTGCCCTCATCCATTTTTCTGATGAGATGAGCAAACCAAGCCTCAGGGAGGGGTGTAACCTCGCTCAAGGTGGCATGATGGCTAATTAGTACTGAAACTAGACCCACTGTCTCTGGATTCCCAGGCTGGTGCTCTTCCTTCTCCAAGGCAAGGCGCCAACCTCCACAGTCCTAGCAGAGGTTACCGCACTGCTCAGGATTCCAGCATAGTATTACTAGAGGTTTGTAAACAATGAACAAAAGACCCACGGGGAGTAGTTAAGCCAGTGTTGTGTCTTTTGGGGCCAGATAACAAGCAGTTGTGAGGCCTAAGGCTCTTCTTGGCTCCACCCAGGCCTCGTTCCTCTCCAGGCTTCCCCGTGGGTGGAGATCAACTAGCTCCCTCCCCCACTGTCTCCTCCCAGTC